TTAGCAACTAGTTCATTCATTTCTTCCAGCAATGATAATTTTTGCTGTGGTACATGATCAGTGGTTATTCTCGTAATTAGTACATTTTCCACTGAATCAATATCAGCTTCTTTCCCACTTTGAGAGGGAATGGGACCACTTATCGTGTGGCCTCCTGCTGTTTGCAGTAAGTGAACATCATGTTTACTTAATATATTTTGCACAAAACAGTGATAATAATCACTTCCAATGATTAAATCAATTGGACTAATTGTGTCCGTCTGTATGTCAGGACAGGCTAACTTGACCTTAGCTGCTTTCAGTGCTGCAACTGTTTCTTTTAATCCCTGGATCTGCACAGATTTAGACAAATCATCTACTACCACAGGTTCTACTGTCTTTTTCCTGTTTCCTAGACCAACAGTGATTCTGGCTAGGCCATATGTCTGTTTACCAGAATTGTGGAAAAACCCAGCTGTATCTAACTGTACTTTGGCATAGGGTTGGTTATTCAGTTTCTGCAACACTGTTCTTCTTATGAAGAACCTTTGTGAGCCTTGATCAAATAGTGTTAGCACATTGGTTCTGTGTAATTTATTAGATAACTCAACTCGAGCTATCGGGAGAGCAGTTGCTTTAAACTTATCTCTCACATTTAATGCTGTTTCTTGTTGACTTCCTGATTCTGTGGAAGTCTTCTGCTGTATAATGCTGTATGATGCATACCGTTGCATTTAAAACACCTCTTCAGTGAGCATTTTCCTCCCTTGTGTTCACCTAAACACTTGATGCACCTTTTCAGCTGATGAACACGTTGTTTACGTGCCTCCATTGATGTGTATTGAATACAATACTGTGCCCAATGTGTTCCATCACAAAGTACACATTTTGGAGTACGTTTATGTGTGACAGTTTGTTTACTGTCTGTTTTATTCACAGCTTGATAAATGCCTATATGGGATTTCCCATTCTGTGGTTTAGTGGGAGTAGGTATACTCTTTTTATACTGAGTTGAAGGTGTGTTATCCACGGGATTTGTGGATTTTTCATCTTGTCTCATTGCTTGCATGCAATAGTTTGTGGTTACAATTCATCCTGTACAATACCACTGATAAACCAGTCACACTGTCTTAGGTCATATTTAGCACCTAGAGATCTGTAACTATTGTCTAATGTGATTCTAAATGCCTGTAAGTCTGAAAAAGAATGTTTGGGTGGCTTCAAGCTTGATATTAAGACTGCATGTCTAACTCTGACCTTGTCAGCATCAAAGTAATTGTCTGCTAAGACACGTAAGGCTATTTGATAATTACCTTTAACCACCGGAAATGACTTAATCAGTTCATAGGGTTCTCCCTTCACAAGACATTTAAGATAATTGAACTTAGCAATCTCATCTATGTCAGTTCGTGAATTTACTATAGACTGAAAACTACTAATGAATTCTTCATCTTAAAATAATGAATCTTAACTAGTCATAAGTGATTCTCCTATACTGAAACTATGTATAGTGCCAAAACAAAAGCATTCACATTGCTAAGCTCTCAAACTAGTATTTAGTCACTTAGCCATAATACCAACTTACCTCATAATTTTTGTTATATTTTAAACTTAAGATTTAATCTAAGTCTGCCCGAAATGCCTAGCCATGCTAGGAGTTCTAGTGGTACACTCTGTAATTATTATTCTACTACATGTAAACCACACAATAACCAAATTCTGTAAATTCAGCATTGTAATCCCTATAGAGAATAAACTTTGAATTGAATTTGAATTGAATTGAATTGAATAATTATGACCTTGGAAAATAGGTAATGACAAGGTAGGTAAACTTGGTAATGGCACACTTGTTGTTACAGGTGTAACAGGTGTTTGACCACTAGTTACAGTAGGTCTCTGTGACAGAGTTTTGCGGCAGATTGGCTGTCCTCCTGTCCACCTTAATTGTTGATTACTTGAAGTATCCAAAACATTTTTAATTTCATCCTCAGATGGGTCTGATTCAAGAAATTATTTTTCATAATGTGAATAGTCTGAATTAATTATTTCCAGACGTTGTTTAAGTAATTCAAATTTGACCTGAAGGTCATCAAAATCTATCTTTGTATCTTGAGTTAATTCTATACAGACTGAAATTAGATTTTCTAATTGTGTAATCTTAGTCTGTAAAGACTGAAACTGAGTTCTCAAACAAGCCATTTTAATGGTATATCGAGAATTCAAGCACCACACTTAGAGTGTTTAAAAAACATTGTACTGCTATACAGCTGAGTTTTTTTATGCTTAAGTCAGCAATAATCGAGTCAGACACTACTGATCCACTAAGCTTAACCTCAGGGTCAATGACCATGAAGGGTACAGAGTACATATGGCTGGTGTTTATGGCTTGAGATTGCTGTGTCAGCCTGACCACGATAATTAATCGTAAATAATGTTATACACTTCATTCACTATACACTATAAATGTCACTGTATAACTGCAAATCACACGTGAATATTAGTTACACATACATAAATGTCACTGTTAATATGTATTTGAAAGATTACACTTTATGTATAAGTTCCTTTAATATAACAGGTATATCTATAAGAAACAAACTTTAACACAATTTTGTTTCTTAATTTTTGTCTATAAACATTATAAACAAACTGAACATCAGTTGGGTTGTTTTTGTTGCCAGCATTTCTCGAGCTTGGAGCAGTGGATACCGGGTGCCATCCCCCGTTTTCTTGTTGGGTGAGTCACCCAGCTCCCGTTTTCTTTGGGTGAACGCTGGGTGAGCGCCCGTTTTCTTTTGGCTGCCCATTCTCTGTGATTGAGTCTGGAGGGACTCATATATACTGATTATATTGTAAAACACTAGTTTTACAGCTTTTTTCGAAGGACCTTGGCTCGTAGGTTATTTTTACACTGTAGTACAACATATTTGGACCACAGTGTGGCCTATATCCGGTTCGAGCGGGACCAAAATTGTCGAGGAATGGGTTACCAGCTAAGTTCATAATTTTAAATATAGGGAATACTTAGCTGATAAAAGACAGCAAATTGTCTACACAGCCGCCCCTGCAGACGAGGTCTTGAATTGTTGTCATGATCATCTCTCAACGGGCTGAAATAGATCATATTATGTAAACAATAAATTACCCCTATGGGGTGTTATGTCAGCATATTTCATTCACGGATTGCCGACAAACTTACTTGTGTGGTCTCAAAGTCCGCACCTCACTACCGACTATAGGTTGATTACAAACTTCTTGCGACTCAAGAACTGTGCAGTCCCCAGTATTACAAGAAATTCGTAACCTACCGCGCTCCTGTAGCATGACCTATGGTGTTCTTCACACCTTCGACAGGTATCGGTGACTTGATAGAAGCTGAAGTGTCCTTGGATGTCCACGTCGTCCATAGTCTAGGAATACGCACACTGGTACACTATGTTCCACAAGGTCTGTCTTTATTGTTCACAATCTTATCACTAAAGAAGCTGATCACACTTCTCTTAAGTGTTTATTGTGTTTTATGAGATACTTTGTTCACACTAATGCACGGATCAGTGTTCTTTGTTGGTTATCCTGGCGTCAGTGTGACTCTCAGTAGAGTCAAAAGTAATCTGACCTCACAGCGCCCCACGCCGTCACAGCCCCTAGCACATAAAGGAAAAGCTGACCTAGTACTTTTTGCTTCCTTGCCACTTCCTCCATGAAGCAAAGCAGAATATTTGATTCTTGCAGTCTTAAGCATAGACAACAATGTACACTATCTTTACCATGGTAATAAAGTGGGAGCAGGATTTTCCTTAATTGTCCTGCTAAGGTAAGAGATGGACTGTCTTTTATTAAAATACACTTTGCAACACTAGAGTCTTGCACGGAGCGGCGGTCGCTTGACCAAGTCACATACTCATATTGCATCTGGGATCAATTACGTGCTGTAGCAGTAAACAAGATGTTTGCCCCTTCTGAGAGGGCTGGGCCCCTCAGGGCTGAAAAGGGATGAAAGGGGATGATGGGGGCTAATACCCCCCTCCTGGAGAAAATTTCTCCACAGCAGTCATCCTCTGTTTGATAAGGACGTGAGGGCAAGGATCAGCAGGCTTGCTGCAGTCATCCTCTGTTTGATAAGGACGTGATGGCAAGGATCAGCAGGCTTGCTGCAGTCATTCTCTGTTTGATAAGGACGTGATGGCAAGGATCAGCAGGCTTGCTGCAGTCATCCTCTGTTTGATAAGGACGTGAGGGCAAGGATCAGCAGGCTTGCTGCAGTCATCCTCTGTTTGATAAGGACGTGATGGCAAGGATCAGCAGGCTTGCAGCAGTCATCCTCTGTTTGATAAGGACGTGATGGCAAGGATCAGCAGGCTTGCTGCAGCCATCCTCTGTTTGATAAGGACGTGAGGGCAAGGATCAGCAGGCTTGCTGCAGTCATCCTCTGTTTGATAAGGACGTGATGGCAAGGATCAGCAGGCTTGCTGCAGCCATCCTCTGTTTGATAAGGACGTGATGGCAAGGATCAGCAGGCTTGCTGCAGTCATCCTGTGTTTGATAAGGACGTGATGGCAAGGATCAGCAGGCTTGCTGCAGTCATCCTCTGTTTGATAAGGACGTGAGGGCAAGGATCAGCAGGCTTTCTGCAGTCATCCTCTGTTCATTCCTCTCAGTGGTTTCCATTCGCTTTAGCCTTTGTAATTTATATTCCAGAAACACTGACTTTATTGCATTGTTAAGGTGCTCATCATCACATCTGTGCTAAATAAGACTGTTTTTACTCGTCATTGCTCCAGAATTTCAGTTCACGAGTCTTATTGTCCAGAGATCTTCTTGTTTCTTCTAAATATTTCTTGTCTCACTTTAACAATGTATTATGTCTACTCCTGGGAAGGTGACACAGTCACTCTTGTGGTTCTTGAATAAAGTTTATAATATGAGTGACTCTTATCACTAGCGCAGGTGGAAAAAAGACACTTATATACAATTCAGGACATTTATTTAAACAAACTTTTCACCACGAGCGGCTTCTTCAGTCCTCATATTGAGGTAAATAAAAACGAATGTACATAGGAGCAGTAGTAAGGTGGAAAGCTGCGAGAGGGTAGCAGTAGTAGTAGTAGTAGTAGTAGTAGTAGTAGTGGTAGTAGTAGTGGTGGTGGTGGTAGTAGTAGTAGTAGTAGTAGTGGTGGTGGTAGTAGTAATAGTAGTAGTAGTAGCAGTAGTGGTGGTGGTGGTAGTAGTAGTAGTAGTAGTAATAGTAGTAGTAGTAGTAGTAGTAGTACTAGAAGTAGTAGTAGTAGTAGTAGTAGTAGTAGTAGTGGCAGTAGTAGTAGTAGTAGCAGTAGTACTAGTAGTAGTAGTAGTAGTAATAGTAGTAGTAGTAGTAATAGCAGTAGTAGTAATAGTAGTAGCAGTAGCAGTAGTAGTAATAGTCGTAGTGGTAGTAGTAGTAGTAGTAGCAGTGGTAGTAGTAGTAGTAGTAGTAGTAGTAGTAGTAGTACTGTGGTGAGATGCTTGTGTTAGAGAAGGACCTGTCAACATTACAGGTCTCCAGAATAATGTTTCCAAAATGTTACAAAAGTATCTCATTCTTCCAAGTGTCGGCTTTCTAAACTACTTATATCTGTTGCATCGCCCCAGACTGAGGATCACCTTGTAATGGCGTCGTACAGGTGAACTTTTACCCCAGCTTGTGTTGCCAGTCAGTGGGTGTCTCTCAGTGTGTAAAGTCTGCCGCTCTGGCTGCTAGTGGTTGCCGTTACGTGCTAGTTTACTAAACTGTCAACATAATAGTAATAACAATAATGATTACTGACGAGTCGTACATAAAGTGGTTAAACTGAAACTACTACGGTTCTTGGTGAAGCCAAGTATTCCATTTTATCTGTGATTATTTTGTATCATGTGTTGATGTGGACTATTCTCCACAGTTGAGAAAACATATTATGACGTTACCAACAGCTTTAAGCAGATGCGTTAATAATGGTGAATTCTTTTTAATTCAAGGAATTGGAAATACCGTATTCCACCCATCAAACCTGAGAGCTCACATTTCCCTGTCATTCTTCATCTTCAGCGAATTTATTGCTACCCCATAAATATAATAAAGAAACTAGCAATAGTAAACTAATAAAGAAGGAAATGTTTATTGAAAACAATATTTTATGTCGTATAGTAGGGAACCATATGTAATATCGTGAATGAAAAGGCAAAATTGTTTACCATGGAAAAGGAAAGGAGCTTAAATAAGTCCTAAAACTCACAAGCCAGTGTGTTAGCCACTCGCCCAGCTGGCGGAGTTCGACTTAGTCGCCCAGCTGGCGGAGTACGACTTACTCGCCAAGTTTCCAAGCGCCACCTGTTCTGTGATTTGTTTGTTATCATGTTATTATGTTATCGTGAGGCATGATGTAGGACAACTTTTGTGTCATTATAGACCATTGTGTCACAGTAGTGTTTGTATTGTTGTATTGATGATGACATCAACAGTACAGTGTTTGTATTGTTGTATTGATGATGACATCAACAGTACAGTGTTTGTATTGTTGTATTGATGATGACATCAACAGTACAGTGTTTGTATTGTTGTATTGATGATGACATCAACAGTACAGTGTTTGTATTGTTGTATTGATGATGACATCAACAGTACAGTGTTTGTATTGTTGTATTGATGATGACATCAACAGTACAGTGTTTGGAGTGTAGTATTGATGATGGCATCAACAATGAATCTTCCTGTAGCCTGCTGGTCCAGTGGCTAACACGTCGGTCTGGAGTTTTATAACTCTCTGATCGTGGGTTCTATCCCGCCCGTAGTTATGGTTTATACCATAAGTTTATTCTGAGTAGAGGCAAATATTTAATTTTACTGAAATTGTTTTAAAATTTGGAATCAGATCAATTACTGGAGAATGTCTTGCCTAATTAACTTCAAACTTTCACAATTTTTGGACTTTATTAATAGAAAGCTTGAAGCTCACTTTGAGATGTTTAAATTTTAATTTGCCAGTTTTAATTAATAAAAAGTTTCCCATGTTTCTAACCATAAATATTTATGAATCTTAATTACGTTGGGTTAGGGAAAAAGGGACGCCAATTTGCAGTTTTTTAAACCAATTTCACCAAACAGGATTTTCTAATTCAAGAAATAAAACATTTTTTCCTATATACAATTGTTGATAATTTGAAATAGAATATAATTAAGGATGAAAACTTAGGACCAAAAAGATTGAAGTTTTTAGGGAGCCATTATAATGAACAAAGACAGACTTTCTTATTTTCATAATATTTCATAGCAATATTTCCTGCTCTCCATGTTACTTTTAATTAATTCAACAATAAGTCTACAGTACAAGTTACCAGTAAACTCAACAGCTTTATTCTCCTATAATTCTTACGCTCTCTTCTGTCATTTTTACTTTTATACAAAGTAACTAAGCATGTTAACTGCCAGTCCCTAGATACACCTCCCTCTTTCACTAATTTATTGAATAAAAGCACCAATCACTATAAAACTATATATCCACCTGCTTCAAATATTTCTGTCTTGATCCCATCAATCCTACTCTGTCATATGCTTTCCTTTTACATTCACTTATCACTCTCTTTACCTTCCTCTTACTCTCCTTATACTCCATCATCACTCTGTCAATCGCTCCTCTTCCCTCCCACACCCACCCTCCTATATACACAAACTTCTGCCGCACACTCTAACATTCCATTCTTAAGTCTATTCCATACTTCTTCAACTTCCTCATTATCTATGCTCTCACTAAACCATCTTTCTACCATTAATTGCTTATATATTATCCTAACCATACCACGGGCGGGATTTGAACCCGCGGTCAGAGAGTCTCAAAACTCCAGACCGTCGCGTTAGCAATCGTGTCATTACTATTTCGAGTCATGTTAACGGCTTTGAGGGGACTTGAGCTAGAGTTCGTCACGGCCACGCTAGCTGGAGATTCGTCAGTAAAAACTTGCAAGTGTGGTCACAGTGGTGCCTATGCTAACCTTCCTATGGTGTAGAAATATACCTAGTTGAATGAATCTTACGATTTCGTGAGTCAAGTTATATATTATCCTAACCGCCTCTTCCTTTAGTTTATAAATTTTCACCTCTCTTTTGCTTGCTGATGTCTTTCTCCTTGAACACAGTCTAACTTTTACTCTGACTGTAGTTAAAACTAAAAAACTATCTGATATATTTGTTGTTCCTTCTCTAATAATAAAAATAATAATAATAACTATTATTATTATTATTATTATTATTAGTAGTTAGTAGTAGTAGTAGTAGTAGTAGTAGTAGTAGCAGCAGCAGTAGTACTAGTAGTTCGAGGTTCTAGGTTCTGACCTGAGGATAGGTGAGATGGGGAAAGAAAAGGGAGGGGAGGGATGGAAAATTAGAAGAGGTTGGGAGGGTGGAGCAGGAGGTACTGCAGGGGGTTGTGCTGGAGCGAGATGTGCTGTTGGCAGCAGAGTCAGTAGAGTAGGGCTGGGTCTCAGATGCCTGGCAGGAGATGGCTGGAATGGCAGTGGTGTCTAGAAAAACAGGATCGTTTTGGAGCCACACCCCAGCTTTAGCTAAATAGCAAAGTGCTGGTGGACTTTGGTTGCAGATGGGTGATGATTAGACTGTGCTGCTGTCAGAGTCGTCTCTGACTGAGTTTAATTTTGCTCTTGTGAGGTTTAATACCTTCATTTTGGAGTGGTGGATGTGTATTTTGTCGTTGAGGATGTCGAGTATGGATTGTACGGTCGGAAGTTGAGTTCCGTGAACGATGTACTTTGCAGTGTTGTCTTGGAGTCATCGGCTGAGTTCTGGGAAGGGCATAGCTCTACTGTATGGTTTCGTGTTGCAGAACGTGGCATAGTCGTATTTGAGGATCGGTGTGGCTGCTGGTGGGGGCTGAGCTGGGCGAGCCGGGGTTTCTGATAGGTCAGTAGCCGTAGGGTTGGAGGCGGATGGTGGTGGGTTCTCGTTGGTGGGTTCTTCTGAGGTCTCAGAGGTCTCTGGTTGGGCCAACTCAGTGTCGGGTGGGGGTTGAGGTAGCGGTGGAGTAACGACAATGTTGGTGACATTTGCAGTGGATTTGAGAATCCCAATGGAAGGTGGTGATGCAGGGAATGTGAATCCCGGCATGTTGTTGAGCTTGAAGAGTTCGTTGATGGTGGTATTGAAGGAACCAAGCTCAGCTGCATTCTGTACATGGGCATACATAATGCAGTAAAGGATTTTGGTGGAGTCGCCAGCAGGAGCTGGCAGGGGAGTGGTGGAGGCTGCTTGCATGGCTTGTAGAATCTTGGTGGTGTCTGCTTGAAGCTTGGTGATAGTGGCATATGAGGTTGTTTGTGGGTTGGGCTTATTTTGTTGATGGTATTGTTTCTTGGCTGTCTCTTCTGGTAGGGCATCTGGCCGCGAGAGTATGGTGATCATTCTTGCAGTTCAGGCATTTAGGTGGTGCAGCAGTGGTGCAGTTTTTGAAATCGTAACCCTCGAGGTCACAGGTAGGACAGAATGTTTTGTCCTTGGCAGTGCAGTCTTTGGTGGTATGTATTTTTTTTTTTTTGTCATGATCATCTCTCAACGGGCTGTAATAGATCATATTATGTAAACAATAAATTACCCCTAGGGGGTGTTATGTCAGCATATTTCATTCACGGATTGCCGACAAACTTATTTGTGTGGACTCAAAGTCCGCACCTCACTGCTGACTATAGGTTGATTACAAACTCCTTGTGACTCAAGAACTGCGCAGTCCCCCGTATTTCAAGAAATTCGTAACCTACCTTGCTCCTGTAGCATGAGCAGTGTGGGATTTGTAGGAATTTTTCTTCTTCAATGAAGGTTGGGTTGATGTGGAAGTAGTGAATAGCCAGGCCCTCAGCGAGAGCTCTGGTTGCCATGTTGACGTTGCTGAAGGTGAATGAATGAATGAATGATTCTAGGTAAGACCCCATGATGGGGTGAGCGGGGAAGACTGGACAGACGAAGAGTAGGTCTTGAGAGGAGTGTCCTTAGTCTTAGAGAAAGAGCCAGGGCTTGACCCAGCAGCAGAGCTCAACGTGAAGGAATTTGCAGGAACGAGCTTGAGAGTCAGGATACACAGGCAAGCTTGATAGGTAACACGGGAGCACGGCTGTGTGCATCTCATCAGCGCGAGGTGTTGACTGGCTTGTGATTGGTGGAGACTGGCGAGAGGGGAGAGGCAGGCAGGAGATGGCAGCTAGTGATCACGTGACTTATGTGCGATCATGCCATGGAGTGATTGATCCGTTTACAATTCTTCTATATGCTGATTTTGAGAGCATGACAGGTTTTAGAATGCGCATCTTGTCAATGCGTAGGTCTTCTAGTATGGCGTTGGTGGTCTGTGGGTCGGTTCCTGGTGCAACAGTGTACTTGATGCTGCCATTTCCTATGCTGTATATAGCTTGGCCTTCATGCACGGTCTCGAATTCCGGACTGCATGTGTACAGGGTGATAGGTGCTATATTTTTGATGTTTCGGTCTTCTCTCGTTGTTTCTAGTGGGTGTGTAGTTTCTTGTGGACGACTCACAGGTGGATGTAATTTAGCTTTCTTTGCAATTGGTGACTGAGATGGAGATTCGAGGTGTAGGTCGGCACAGGTGGCGGCGGTCTCGGGTAGATCAGGTAAGAGGGTGACCTTCAGCATGGATGAAGCGTTGATTATTTTGGTAATGTAATCCACCTTAGCCCAGGGGTTCTGTGCATATAGGCACTTCAACTCCAGGGCTATCCATATTTATTGATCCCTCAAAATGGAC